AATACAACAGATTGTATCAAATTTAACGACTATCCGCAACGAATCTCGCTGCAAACTTTGCGAATACACTTTTCAAACAAATTTAAATTTCCATTTATCAAGGATCAAACCCGATCCATTCGTTCCACTAGCAAATGATATTGCATTGTATTGTACATCTCATCTGAATGATTACTATAATAACGACCTATCTGATACAAATATTGCCTAAGCAAAATCAACTTTATTTATGAACTCATAAGATTCATTTTACAATAATCATTCTGATGTAGCTGTAACGCTTGTACAGGAAAACGATGTAAATGACATTTTTAAAAGTGAAATAAATAAAATAACTACTGTAAAACTAAGTGAGTAAGAATCAATTTCCCGTATTATAGACCATCAAACATATTCAGCTCAAAAGCAAATAGCTGTAACCAACATATATATGAAATACTAAAAGAGTGATCTATTATTGGAGAATTAAAGTTTAAAATTGAATGTCTTGAGTAACTAAACCAGTGACATACGTTTTGAAAGCCGTGACCTATTAGCAGTGACAAAACATACGGTTGTCAGCGTGATAGTGGATTTATTATGGGGTAGAATTAATAGATTTTGATTATCCCTATTATTATTTACTTAGAGTTCACTTTGAGTTGAATTTTTCACCCTCAATTTTAATTGTTTGGTATCTTTGTGTAGCAAATAATTAGAAGAAGCGTAACAAGGGTAGGTTTTATTTGTTGTTGCAATAAAATTATACTCTTGTATTAGTTAAATCAACAGTTTAGTTAGTTATAAAATCAGCTTTGTTAGTTTTATAACTCTACATTTTTTAGACAATAGGAAGAATTGCCATTTTTACCTCTACATTTCTTAAACAATGCTATTTATTCTCTATTGATAATATGTTAATTAACGACCTGTTTAGCTCAGTTTATAGTGACTACTTTCTGGGGCAATTGTCACGGGTTCGAGTTCCGCTTGGGGCATTCATTTTCGTGATGAACACGAATGTTTGTACTCAAGTAATGGGTGCTTATATTTATAATATAGATATATTTAAAGTTATATAGTAAGTGTATCAACTATCTGGTATCAATAGACAATAGCACAAGCCTCGTAGCTAACCATGGAACTAAATGGTGTTGTATCTGAACATCCCAAGATATTTATTTATTTATTAATATATTTTGCACGGCAGTCAAAAATATAGTTTTTTTCTTCCCCACTCTATTTTGAAGATTTAGATGAAGACAAACAAACAAACATATAAAATTAGAACTTTATAATCTAGGCTCCAATAAAAAAACTTAAATCAAAAACGCTAGATTTGATAGTTATATTTTTTATAATAGTTATTACCATATTAAATGACGCAAATTATGAACAAATAAACATTTCCCACCCCACTCGATCGCCGACAGAGAACTAATACAAATAAATCAGACCAACAATGGAAACACACTTAATGACAGTTCAGACGTAAAGAAGAACTGATGAAAAACAAATTCAGAATGGTTTCCTAATTCAAATAGATACCAATGAAGTGCCGCGTGGCGCTCTACAGCTCTACCGTAAAATTATTGCGGCTTTAAAAATAAAACTCAATTAAATTTTAACCTTATTCCCATATAGCTAGAATTTTCAATTACTGCATACAGTAGTAATTTGGTTTGTACTAAGCCAGTGCAACAGCGAAGAGTTCAAATATGAAGCAAATTTATACATGCAGTTGCATCAACATGTTCATACAATTTTGATCCTTATCACGCAAATAATAGAGTTTCTTTATTCTTATAAGTGACAAACAAATTTTCGGCTATTTCGAACGCACGCGTCCTGCCATAGATAATAAATGGTTTCGGCAAATAATTACGTTATTTGATTTTAGACGGATGATGGTAGTTCGCAAATAGCCCCTCGTGGGAGCTTGTGGGGCTTAGCTTTGCGTTACGTTTTGATTTTATAATTGAAAGATACGATTAAAGCAAAATTTTGAGTGCTTATCTTTATTAATAAACAAGATAATAAAAAAAGTGACTCCGAATATTTTATTTTTGTCTATTTTAAGGAATTAAAAAGTTTAATTCTTATTTTAGTACTACTAATACTACCTACTAAGATAGCCTATAATATGTAACTCCAGGTTATAGTTTGTAATAGTAGTGATTTATATTAAAAAAATAGGTTCAGCAAATAAAAAATGAACAATATTATTTATACTAAATATTGTATTTCTTTAGCTATCGTCTAATGAAAGCTAAAAATTTATGACAATTAAGTACCGATACCCATATTCACATTATAACTCTACGATGTAGAGCTAAAATATGAATATGATGTAGAGCTAAAATATGAAAAATAAATAATAATATCCTCCTGACTGATTTCGCCAACGGCGGCTAATCTCACTCAGACTAGTCAGATGCGCAATAGATATTATAGTGTAGCGTGTGTGTTGGTGTATGCGCAGACACAAGTGCACTCTCTATTCCTGTCACTCTCATACTCCGGTGGTACGACTACTTGATATGACCGGTGAGAGCTAAGGCGCAAGACCGACAGCTTTACGTGCTCTCCGACGCACGGGGATGAAACACCGCAAACTTCCCAACACCGGGATGTTACTGAGGCTTACTATACAGAAAGACTCACTACAGAAAGACTCAATAGCTTAACTTGGCCCAACCCGAGACTCAAGCCCAGGACACCCAGGATCCCCGGGTGTGCAGTCGTATAATTTATACTATTATGCAAGCCACAACACTACCGAGGCAAGCTAAGAATAGAGCGAATTAAGATAACATCTTGTTTAGGATTAACATATGGATTTAATTGTATACTAGAATAATATAATTTAAATGCATCTCTCGTGCACTTTGACTTGGCTCTTGTTATTTCATTAGATTAGGTTATTATAGATAGCTCTATAGAAATTATATTAAAACAAGTTAGATATTCTGAATCCATTAAATGTCACATTATAAATGTGAAACTGTGTTTGTTTGTTGTTCTGTTATTTAGACACATGTCTAGTGAAAAGTCACTAAAAATGTTTCCTCACTAAGCACTATGTCTCTGTCTAGCGCAAAAATTAAAAAAAAATTGATGAAATTTTATTTTAACTTTTATGGTCTAACGTTTCAAATGCTTTATAAAAACATGGTTACGTGGAAAAGCTTGAGTCTTTAGAACAAAAAAAAACTGAAAGAAAAACCAGTAAATCATTCTTATTTAAAATTTTAATTTTCACTTAAATCTAATAAGGTATTTTTTGTGGTTTTTTTTTGCAACTGATTGCCGTCCACTGCTGGATGAAAGCCATCCCCATATGTATATCTACATACATAAATCACAGTTATCTGGCTCATATATCACCGTTATTCGTTGCCCTGTTGCTGTGTGAAAGAAGGACAAACTAACACACACTTTAAAAATACAATGAAAGTCAGATTTCCTTGATTAACGCTAAAGCAGATTTTGATTATTGGATAGGATAAGTATCATGGGATAGGAAAGCTTAGAAGAAATTGTATCATATAAAAACAAAGATTTTTCATTCAAAATCCATCATTAAAAATCTGTACCTAATTATTATTTATTAGCAGAAAATATTTTAAAAGTAATAGTCCATTATCAAATCCCTAGTGACGCACCTGATGTTATATGAGCTCATTGGTTTGATGGGTGCATGAACTTATTAAAAGGGGGCCCGAGATGTAACTTGTATAATTATAGGTGTACAATATTTCTCTTTGAGGTAAACATTTATCAAGTGGTGATCAGTTATGAAACTAAAGAGATATTTTGTTTTTTTTTTTTTTGCTTGTTTATGTATGATGCTACCAGATGAATAAATATACATAAACTACGCGAGAGAAGCTGCGTTCGAAAGCTAAGTATTAATAATAATGAATATTTTTTTGATAATTAATAAAACTTTCATAATTTATTACTGATTTTATGAAAGAACTAGCGACTCACCCTAGCTTCGCTCGGGTTCGTCCCTAGCTTGCTTCCCAATACAAACTTTCATCCCCATTACCACCCCCTTAAAGAATGATTTCCAAAATAAAGAGTATTCTATATCCTTTCCAGGGTCTCAAACTATCTTCTTACCAAATTTCATCTAAATCTGTTCAGTAGATCCAGAGATTACCCCCTACAAAGTTTACCTCTTTATAATATTAGTACATATAGACTAGTTTTAACCCACGGCTTCACTCGCATGGTAAGTGGGGCAGGGATCAAATTCCAGAATGCAATTTATCTCCTTGCTAAATTCTATCGAAATCTGTTCAGCATTATTATATATATTATAATTTATAATATTAGAATGAATTGATTTTAATGCAAAGATTAATAAAATAAATAAAATAAAGCATCGACTTTGTGTCGAATAATATGTTTATAATAGAATAATTCACCTTTCAATATTCAAATTAAAAAAGATTCGGAATCTACTTAAAAACAGAATAAAAATATTTAATAAATCTCCAATAACAATAATCAAAATACTACGTAAAAATATTTCTTTAATAAAAAATCACCGCCAATTTTATTATTTCATTACAACATTCTAATTTTTAATTTAAATAACACGCACAAAGAACGTATGTCATTAGGTATGTCAATGAAATGATCTCGAATTCCGTGTCGCTCTCGAAATACCAAATCCCCTAATAAAATTGGTAGCGACATTTTATTTACGACCCTCCAACAATTCACCTCCACTCCTACGACATTTCAGAAATCAAACAAGTGAGTACAAATCATAAAATTTTATTTATTACTAACAAGCGATTTTTAAGAAAATATATTTGTTATCACCTTTCATATACGTTTATTTTATAAATTATTTTATTTACACCTCTAGTCCAATGATACACAATTGAAATATAAACTTCAATCAAATCATATTTCATTTCGAATACAATTAATAAAAATTTTAATCACATTTTTTTTTCTAAACACAGTCTTGGAATCTTATACTAATTTCTTAAATAAATCTAAGAATATCGCGACAAATTTTGCGCCTCGAAACTCGTGTCGTTGTCACTGACTACGTCTATATGTTCTTGATCATTTTCACAAGATGCCGAACTGTTTTTTGAGCAAGAGGCCTTAGAACAGCAACATTTCTTAGTTCTACCATCAACAGTTATGGGACTCTCTTCCTTCTTCAACTTAACGCGACGGTTTTGAAACCAAATTTTCACTTGTTTCTCCGATAGCTTCAATCTTGAAGCGATCTCTATTCTTCTCAGTCGAGACAAATACATATTCATCGAAAATTCTCTTTCGAGTTCCAGAAGTTGTGTACCGGTGAAAGCAGTGCGTATACGTTTGCTAGAATCTTCTTTAAGAGGCAAACGTTTCAAATCTTTTGAATATCCTGGAAGCAGTTCTTCTTGATGAGCGATGGGTGGGCTTGGTGTACCATTTCTACTCTCGCTAGATAATGACGGCGATCTCTGGCCTTGGCTCTTTGATGGTGATGTTGCTGCAGATTTATAAGGATGAAAGTAAGGTGACACTGACTTCTTTTTTCGCTTAACGAATGCTTCTTGTTCTTCAGATGTTGCGTACTCAAATTGATGGTTTTCACCTTGAATTGGTTCATATACTGGCTGACGTGGCAACTGATGTAGTAATGGGTAACGAAAATTGAGATGCTCTAAAAACGGCCTGAACAGATCAGGCGTTCGTTGCTGCTGCTGAAGTCCAAGACTCAATAAGTTGTTTAAGTTCCCCGGATAAGGTAAGGGCAGGAACTTTGGTCTAACATCCATGTGGTGGCTCATAAGATTTGTATACGTTTGTAGCGGATCACTAGTCATTTCTGTATTTTTGCAATCTTTCGTTTCACTTATTAACGCGTCTACAAAAAATGATCGGGACATTTTTAGAACGTCTCTCTGTGGCGATTGCCTTGTGACTGATTAAGCAGGGTGAGATCTCCTAAAGTAACAATTACAAAAACTACCCCCACTTACTGCACCCTATTGTAAATAAACACAATGGCCTCACTCGAAGCGTTTTGGCAATTATTTGGCCCGTCCCACCCTTTTGTCGGCGAGCCGTCAGCCCCAGTGTTAGTAAAAAAAAACTGTATTTTTATGAATGGAACATTTTAGTAGCTATGAATAATTTTGTATAGGATCCTAACATCCCTCATATCTGTCTCATTAAACTCGATTTGGTGTCTGTTTAGGTTGACTGCATAAGCTTATACATATGCTTAGAGTATTATACATGACATACACATAAAAATACTATATTAAAAAATTTAATTAAAATATTGAGAAATGACATTTATTATTAGTTATATGAAGAAATCAGTACATATCATAAAGCAAATAATTATTTTTAAACATTGATACCAATAAAAAAACAAAACCGTTTCAACAAAATTTAACTAAAAAACTCAAACAGTTTATCAATGTTACTTTCATCAGTATCAAAACCCTTCAATCCAACAATTCGGAGCACATTAATTAGGTATGAATACCCTATAATATGAGCCGTATGCTGTACACGTGATTTTGATACTCGTCAAAGAAATCGTAGGGTGGGAACTTTAGCCCCGCCCTCGGCTACCCTTATTACAGAACTAGTTTATGAAATATTAAAAGGGATGAATAATATTGTTACAACAGTAATTGTGAATCAATTCGTGTTATTATCATGTCAAGAATAATTTAAGAGTAACTCTATGCTTCTTTTGAACGCTAAGTGATATGTGATGGGAGGCTAAATTGTGCTATAGTGTATTTTAGTATGTAAATAACTGGTTTTATTTGATAAAGAAATCAAGTAAGATTTTGTCATAAAATGTCTCCATTCGTGTTATTTATGCAAAAGGTCCAAGTGAATGAGCCTCATTTTAAACTTTCAAGTATGAAATTTTTAAAATATTGGATGTTGATATGTTTAGAGCTTATGGGCTTAATATCACATAAGTTAAGTAAATAAGTAAAACAAACATTGATGTACTCATTTTTTTTTTTGCAATTTGATTTAAAATGTGGTAAATTACGAAATGCAAGGAAATTAATGCTCTATATATAAGCCGAATCTGTCTGTCTGTCTGTGACCGCATCACGGAAAAACCAGTGTAGGGATTTTGATTAAATTTTGTATGATAATAGCTGGTTATCTGGCTCAATATATAGGATACTTTTCACTGCGGGAAAATATCTCATCTCTGAGAAATCTATAGTAAATGTTAAAACGTAAGTAGGCACGAACCCGAGCGGAGCGCCAGTGAGTCGCTAATACCTAATATTTTTCTGAACTCTTGCTATTATTTTCAACATCATGATCAAACATGCATTTGAAAGTTTTATAATTTCGACCTATCAGGTCTAGCCGCTAAGGTTCGAGAAGTATGAAATTAAAAAAGCAAAGCAAAGTGAAGTCGTAGCAAGGTGATACTGTAAAATAAAAGTATCGAAAAAGATTTATAGTTAATTTGCCTGTCGCCTACGAATTCCGATGTACGTTTTATTGAACAAGCATTTATTTGATTTTACATATTCAATGTTATTTCTATCCAAAAGGAGATCTTGGTTGTTATTTGTAAGATACATGGCAATTTCCTCGAGCGCTATCAAAAACCAGAAATAAATATTGATACACAGCTTTTTAAACTACCAATAAAAATAATAATTCAATAAAACAACGAGTAAATCTCTTGTGTTACATGGTTTTTTTAATCTTCATAAACGGAGATAGGTACTCAATTCTAATAGTTTTTTACACGATTAAGGCGAAGCCCAAAAGAGAGTTATGTGTTCGTCATATTATATGTATCTATGTTGTATGTATGTCTGATTCCGTTCCCTCGTAATTACTAAACGGCTTAACCGATTTTGATGATTCATACATCGTTAGATACTTAATAATGTGAGTGTCATAGAGTTGCGGATCTTATGTGCAAATTTGTGTGCCTTGATTTTTTTTTGGTAATATAATTTTGAAATCTTGGCTGACTAGTAATATGTACTTATTTTTTAAAACGCTATCCTCGTCCATTTATAAGATAGAGTATCTTTCAATTTGTGTAAGAACTTTTAAAATCATTTTATATATAGTATTCTAATTTAATTATGTATAGAATATAATATTATTATCTATACAGATAAATAAAATTGTATCCGTTTCTAATGTCAAAATACCAGCTTTTTAATAAATGCATATGAAATTATATACGGTTCATATAGGAAAACACAAGTTTTAAAATTGTCTCTTTCTGTATGTCTGTTTGTTCAGCGTAATCTGCGAAACGGCTGAACTGATTTTGATCGAACTTTCACTGGCAGATAGCTGATGTTATAAGGAGTAACATTGGCTACTTTTATTTTAGAAAAATAATTAGGGTTCCGCTTAAAAAAGCGTACCTACGGACGCACCCGAGCAAAGCGAGGGTAAGTCGCTAGTATGATATATATGTAAATAATCAAATTTAATATCTTTATAATTATATAAAATAAATAATATCTATGTTAATATATTTATAATTAATAAAATAAATGTTGATTTTGATTTATTTAAATTAAAGCAGTGATTTCAAATTAACGCACTAAAAGCATGTAAACGAGTATGTACACATGTCGGAAACGTGTAAACGAATATATTCAATCTACATAGTTTTGTATAATTAATTAGCAGTTAATGAAATGAGTTTCAAATTGTCAAATTGTAGACAATGGAATTTATCAGGAACAGTGACATTTACACAAATACTCGTGTATGTACGTCCTTATGGTGAGATTAATTGTAATCGTAACTTTAAGTCAAAGTCGTCTTTGCAAAGTGATTCCGGAGCTTACTTTCCATAATGTTGATTTCTCAGTCATAATAATTTTCATATGACTAAACTTAATAACGTAATACTTTCTTAGATTTATTTTTGTAAAATAGTGGGAAGGCACTCTTTATAACAAGTATGTGTTTGAGACGTCTATAACCTTAGTCTCCCCCGTGACCATGATTGCTGTAAAGCATTCGAAACCTCGGGAACCAAAAAGCCAAATAAATCCGCGAAATAATCCGAAAAGATAGTTTTATTTAAAAAAATCTTAATAACGTAAATAAAAAGTGACTTTTTATGTCATAATTTATTGATGTATAATGTATATGTGGCTAAATATGTGGCTTGGTGTTCTATTTGGCGTCACATGGGCGTAAGGTGAAAAATTTATTCACTGTTCATTACTTTTCTGTTATACAATAGTTTTTTTTTGTAGTAACGATACGGCCAAGCCACGTATTTTGACTAAGGTGTAGAGTTTGTGAAGTTAGTGCTTGTTATAGAGTTAGGGCGTGTGGAGTTAAAAGCTTGGCTCTACATGAGATCTGATAACTTTTTGACAGTGCCAACTATATGGTCTCGTTTTGGAAACATTTTACATGAAAATGTTTTTGGTGAGACGAAGTTTCCTACATCATACGAGTAGTATGATGCAGTCGAAAATATTCTCAAGACTCGCAATAAGTTTAAGATAGAATATCTTCTTCATTTCTTCATAACCCTCCTTTTAGGTCTCACCACAGTCGGGTAAAAAGACAAGAACACAGTTATTGCATAAAGCTATACAATCTTAAGAAACTTTTACATACTATAAGGCGAATATACACAAAATCAAAGAAATCTTTAAAAAAAGGTCAAGCATGAGTGAATTTTAAACGTATCGAAAATTATCTGTTTATTTTATTATTATAGATAATTGAGCTACATTATATCATGTTATACGACAGATTCACATTATCTTACAATCATTTAACGAATTAACAATGTACCTGGGTTCACAATACTCCCTCAACCTATCAACCCTTTATCTATAACCGGTTCGATTCCCGTAAAAAGTAATCTAAAGTCTAACTATATAGAGATCAGAATGAAAGCGTATTCGATCTATCGGAATATGTTTGTGTTACATTGTTATTATCTGCACATTGTTCGGTGTCGTGATTCGTGATCATCTTTGGCTTCGACAGATTTTTTAACAATGAAATTTTTCTGCAAGGCAGGACGGTCTTTTTGCTATCTTTTTTCCTTTTTTATAATAAAAATGAACCTTTATTTTGTAATAAATACAAACACTATGCTTCAAATGTTATTTTATTAATGTTTTCAACTTTTTTCTCTAGAGAGAACTACTAAGTGGCTATCAACTCATGAATATGACTAACATATTAATATGAATTTTTAATCCTATAAATATTATGAATGCGAAAGTTTGGATGGATGGACTGTTACTCAATCACGCCCGAACGGCTGAACGGATCTGGATGAAAGCATTCAAAATGTCGAGAACCAAAATATCTATTTATGTACCACAAAAAATATTACATAAAAAAGAAAACAGAGACCCTTGTGTACAAAGGATTATAAAAATTCAAAATATTTTATTCAGCATTAAATTATATATATATATATATATATATATATATATATATATATATATATATATATATATATATATATATATATATATATATATATTATGTAAACATCCACTAAGGAAGGATTTTTGGAAATTCCACCCCTATAGAGATAAAATAAGGGATGAAATGCTATTGCTCTGTCCCTCGATGCGCGATTAAAAATCATACATACTCACACGTTTGAAAATAATTACAGCTAACAAATTGTTAGTTTTAACATAAAGCTAACTTGTTTTATTGCAGTTTGAACGCGGGCGAAGCCGCGGTTTCTGCTAGTTTAAAATATATTTGGCCATTAACACACAGCACCATCTAGTTTCATTTTAAGCTACGAGGCTTGTGTACTACACATATATAATTTTAAATACATACATATTTTAAATATACACACCCACGACTGGAGTACAAACTTCTATCTAATGTAATCTTAAAATCCAATTCAGCTGAATGT